CAAACTCGGTAGCTGTTAGCCGCCCATGGACAGGTCTCTTCAGAGATCGACTCCTCCGGCCTCGGGAGATGGTGGCTTAAAAGCAACAATATCAGAACGTCGCAGTCAAAACAACCTCCCCTGGCTGTGGAGCCCGGGTGGATGTATATCAGTGGTCAGGGACACCAACAGACATGGCCCAGTCATATATCATACAGCGGTCAGGTACCCCAAGAATACCCCAACAACCGCTTTCTTAAAGTTCAGAATTTTGAGTCAGTGTTTGGGAAGGGCCCCTGAACAAAATCCTACCTTCTGCCACTGCTCTGTGGGTCAAACTTTCGGGTCAAAGGCGCAAGATGGGATAGCTCAACTATATCCTCTTCCTCTGCCTGGGCAACTGGTAATAATCACTCGCCTTTACTGGTTTTCGTTCACTGACTCCTCACATGTCCCTCACCCAAATCCTGCCTCATTTAGCTGTCAACCACCTAACCATTGCTCCGTACCTAAGCTTTTGTCCAGTAAAGGAAATCAAAATATACCCTTATCAAACCCAAGGGATCTATTCCACTTTGCTACTTTCAAGGTCTGTACGCTGTCAAATTGGACAGCAAGTAGCTTTTACTCAGACATAGGCAGCTCTTAGGCTGAGAACGACAACTTATATCGAGGTTTGTCTAGGTTACTCCGGTCAGGGAGAAGTACATGTATCGTGATTCTGGCAAAGTATATGAATGCACATGTCCTGATGCAGCCCACTTTGGCTGCTGATTCTGGGTTGACGCTCACCGCACAGATAACGGGGAGCGGCTTCATTTATGTGCTGAACATCACTTGTTTCCATCCAGCACAGGCACTCATTGTGTGACTTGGAAGCCACTGAATGGTGTGGACTCATTTGGACTATGTGACAATCAGTTACTGGTAAAGACCTTCTATGCAAGATTGTCATTCATTTTGGAGTACACCACTGGACTCCGATCACTGCATTGTGTGGGCACGCGTACCCACTTACTTTCCCTCGGGTGCATGCCGGTTTGCGCATAGCCACTCAGTTGATTGCAAGGTATCTCTGTAGCTCAACATTATCGATTTGAGTTGGCTTAGAAACTTTCAGAGCTCAATGTACAATTGTTGTACTGATTATTTGAGAGAGGTGAAAATAGCCATCCTTGCAGCGTTTGACGATGTCTGCCCCAAATCGTTCGCCCACAACGGACACTGGATCTCATCAGGCTCATCACCTTTGAGTAGAGCCAGGAAGACTATACCAGCAACGAACAAATATGGTTGTGCATGTATGTATATAAAACACCAAATAATGAAAAGCCTAAGGATTGACAGAGCGCTCATGGATCGCGAAACCCGGGGATTGGAGAAGGCTTTTGCTACGCACCCTGTTTTAGATAATCCGATCAAGTGTTTTGAGAAGGGCGGGTGTGGGTGAAACCATTCCCCCAAAATGACAGAACCTCAGTTAGTTCACGGACACTTCGTCTTGAACGATGGGCTAGAGGATTTCAAGAACAGTTCAGCTGTGCCTCATCAAATCGTCTCCTGGAAAGACCGACGATATTGCTGCTCTTGGATCAGACACTACAAGTGCCAACTATTTTAAATAACCTAAATACTTCTGCTTCATAGTTCGAGATGCGCTTTGCACGTGCAAAATGTGTGAAGTGTTACTGCAGTATTGAATGGGATTACACCCAATCGGCGTGCTAGATAAGTTCGTCTATGTGGGCAGCGGAATAAGTCCCAATGAAATGGCGAGAGAAGAAATCACTTACCGAATTGTGAAGGTCAGGGCAGCGTTCGCTAATCTGTCACATTCGTGGTGCCGACGTGGCATTAGCCTGCCTATCAAGAGTAGAGTGTACAACGCGGTGGTTCGATCCGCCCTACTTTAATGATCAGAGACGCGGTCGTTGCGTATGGAAGATTGTCGGGCGCTTTCTCTGTTTAACCGTAGTTGCCTCCGAAGCATCTCATGAGTGTGGTTGAAACATCGAATTTGTAATGCTAAGGTAGACCAAATGGTTATCGGGTAAGTTCACTCTTCCTCGAAAGATCAGCTGGTAACACTCCACAGGTTACGCTGGTTAGGCCATGTACTTTGTATGCCAGAGAACCGTTTGCTTCATGGAGCTTCATTCGCCCAGCCTCTTTTCAGATAGAGATGAAACAGGGGCGATCAATCCAATACCTAGCAACGAAGTGTGAAAATCCTTATCACTCAACTTAGCTGCGTTGGTAGATGGCGTCTCTCTGGACGGGGACAGCGAGGCAAAACAATCCAATGGTTAGTTACCCTAAATGATATGGTTGTGTCATAGAGGCAGTGGTGGTCTTACATCAAGGCCATCGCCTTCATTGTGTAGCTATCACTCCTCAACCACATCGGAAAACAGAACCATTCGACGTCAATGAACTGATTGGAACGTCGCTTTCAACGCGTAGTTCTAATTCCCTTATTCTTGAGCGAATTTCTAGTAGCTGTACCCATTGCATTTCGATGCATAGTTTGCAAGCTGGGTGGACTGAAATGAACTTGGGTAACGCTGGTCAGAGCTCTTCTGACCCGACAGCCTGGTAACTTTTCAAGACACAGATTCATGACGACTTCATAAAATGGAGTTGAGTCTTGACTGACGTTACCGGTGATCGAGTTGGCTCGGTGGTCAAAGCGCTAATTCACTGACCGGAAGATCCTTCGTTCGAACCCGACCTCTGCAGCTCGACTGCTGATGTCTAAGCTTGGGTAACCCGGGCGGTATCTCAGCCCTGGTGCTTCCTTCGAGTGGCATGACAGCTAGGCACCGGAAGGGTGTTACAGCTGAAGGATTGCCATTTACTATTATCAATGCTCAGCTTAACGGGCTGAATTGGAGACATGTGAAGGGGCCATTCAAAATAGGATTGGAGATTATCCTTAGCGATCCGGACACTGTCCTTTGCTGTCCTTGATTAACTCACTGGCAGACAGTATCCTAGATAGATAAAGATAAGGCGTTCAGCTGTAGCACCCTTCCGGTGCCTAGCTGCCATGCCACCCGAAGGAAGCACGAGGGCTGGGATACTGCCAGGTCGCCCAAGCCTAGACAGGGAAGTATCCTAGACACGGCTTCACAACCAGGTTGGAAGAGATACCGCGCATTCACATCCGCATTACCCTTTCCCACTTTTTGATCCCTCCGGTTGCGTCATGCCTCTCACACAAAACCTGTTCGAGCTAACGTCTTACAGACCCTATAGCCGAATTGTATTCTGAGCCCTATAAGATGCAGTGGCTCCTAAATACGCACCAAGGAACATGCTATATATAGGAGTCATAGAACTTCCAGGTTGTATCGATCGGGCAGCACGCAATTAGAAACTCAAACGTTGATGGAATGCATGTCGGGAAAGGTGAATAACGTGGTTATTCGAAATACAAGATGGGTAAACAAAAAGCTCCATAGTCCAAATAAGCAGTAATTATAAGCTATCTCGAAAAATAGGCTGTTATTAGATATGGCTGCTAATCGGTACATGTGGTGTTCATATTACCAATTTCTGTTTAGATTTAATGAGGTGTAGGAACCTCAAAATTACTATGGCAAACTGCCACTGAGTTCTTTCCCCATCCATTTGTATTATTTTCTCCACGACAAATAAATTATACTTGTACGGCGGCGAAGCATCAGTGTTGAACACTATGTTGTCGGTGTTGATAATGATCGAGTACATGGATGCAAAATTTGCTAGTTTGTTGTTGATGTCTTGGTATACTCCCTGTTTCGCTGTCCTATTCTTCCACCTGTTTCCGTTACCCTTCGGAAACCGGTATAGTTTTGTCCACCGGGTCATGGCTGTTTTTAGGCTTCGCTGATGGTTCCACTCAGGTTTTAATTTTACTCAAATCATAAGTGGATTCAGTTGCACGTGTCTAAGGTTCCCACAGGACTATTATAACGGCGCAGAAACAAACGAGGAGGAAATTAAATTGCAGAAGCCATAGCTCGCAATTGTGGATCCTGATGTTTTGAAAATAAGCATTTAGGCGCCGCTTAGAAACTTCCATATAGGAACGAGGACTATGTAACTGCACTTCAATCACGTCCGTCTTGGCTCGTTCGTATGCGCTTGGTGTACAAGGTGAGAGTACGTATAAGCAGAAGCTCGCGCACAGTAAAGAGCAACCATAACTGGGTCAAATGATCGGCGGAGTCCGAATATAAAACAAATACTTTGTCCAGAGGCATGCTTCTTGAGTCAGCTACAACTCTTAGCATTCGGGTATCCCAATGCTCATAGAGCGAACCGCTTTCGGTGTTTTTATATATTGAACCGACAACTTGGCTTTGGTGTTGACACCAGGTTAATGGAAAATGATGTTGAGAGTTCCGTAGTCATTGGAGGTGAATCTCGTTGCACCTAAGCCGCCGATATTGCTCAAAAACTCTACCCGGGCTCGACGATTAGTAGAACATAATTTGCGCTCGTCTTTGAGAAAGATCGGGGTATTTTTCCCACTAGCACAAAAATTATCTCTTTTGCGCGAATAACAACAAATAACAACACGGGCGATGACAATCAGTGTGGTCATTTGACTATTTTTATCACATCAACAGTCAGTCTCCGTCTTGATTGTCTGTCATTTTCCTGGAGAAAAAGATAGGTTTTACGATGCTGGAAAATCCGGTAAAAATTTATAGACCTTTTTCTAACACGAGTATTGATGGTGATAGTGTGTCCTACTAAATGTCGAATCTTCCGAAATTCCAGGTGTGGTTTCAAAACAATATGAGTAGATTTTTCATCCAACGAGTACCAAATTCCTTGTGACAACATGTTTCGAAACGTTCGCACAAACGTTGGTGTCACTTTCTGAAGCCGTGTCTTCAATCCAACAGATAAGAGTTTCTCTAAAGCGCCGATAAAACCCTGGCAGTTTATGTCGACTGTTTTGGCAGCACTCCCTTTTTGTGTTCGGTCAATTCTAGCCACCAGTTTGTGGAGGAGGCTGCACCAGAATTGCCCACCATAGATCCTTTTCCGTAACCAATGTTGTTATCCAAGAGGAAGTGTAAGTTTGTTGCTAAGAAAGTTACGGGTATGTAGTGGGCTTTGTCCACTTGTTACAAATCTTTAAGATCAGCGTAATACTATTTATTTTCACGTGAGGAAACAGCACTGTCCATCAGACAAAGCTGAACAATAACCTGTGGTTCTTCCAGATTTTCAAACGATGACTCTGGATCCTTGGAACTCTAAAGGTTATTTGCCTATGAGACACCTTACCTCTTCCGTACAGCTTTAGGTGAAAATCAGCTAGGCCAATTTAGTTGGATTCTAGGTTGTAAAAGTGTGGGAAGACCGATGATTTTTCCCTTCAGCTGTAATACCCTTTCAGTGCCTAGCTGCCATGCCACACGAAGCAAGCATGAGGGCTAGGATACTGCTAAGTTACCCTAGCCTAGACCGATGTCTGTAATACGAATTCCATCCCTGCGGCATCCTCGTTCGTTTTTGTTGATCTTTGTGCGGTAGTCATTAGCGAATATACACTCATCTGCAAACTAATTTGGTTCTTTCGAGAGACTCACCTGGAACCCAGCTGAATCCCTCGTTTATGATGTTCTCAGGCAACTGAATGTGCTGCACCAGGCCGCCTCATGTTTCAGTCGCTACGATATTTGAAATATCGCGATACATGTATATTTGTAATGTACCACTCATAAGGTTGCTGATGGATTTTCAGCAACCTTTGAGTAGTACATTACAAATAAACTTAACTTCGCTACACGGTATATTGTCTCGTCTATGCAGGAGTGTCTGTTGACGTCGGGCTTCGTCCCCGGGGACTGGTGTTGTCCACATACGCAAATCAGCACATGTATATGGTGCACGCTTTTATGTAGACTACATTAAGCCTTTCCCATTCTACTTTATTATCGTTCTGAGGATCCTTTTGAAGTGTTGTGGACTTGTCTGCGCATGTCTTTGATCTTAGCTACTGTGGCCCGAAGTGTCTAAACGAACAGAGTGTACCTGACGTATGGAGCGTATACAGGGAATCCCGGACGTTTACTCCAGCTAGGTCCACCGAGTCGTAGCGCTCAATTGTAATAGTCCGTGCATTGTCAGGGACTTTTAAATGAATTCCAGCATTAAATGGCTGGTATGCCTAAATACCGTTGAACCACACTGGTGTTCATTATTAGCTGTATCTTGGTGAACTGTGGAGGACGTTTCTCGCGGAATCTAGCCAGTAAATATAATTTTTCAGTATAAAGTGTCTGTTATGCCTTGAGGTTTAGAACACTTTTGTGTGATGAAACTGTTCTTATCTGGTTTGATTTGTATCTGGAACATTTTCGTGCTTTTGGACAGAAAGTTATCAAACCCGGAATATTCCTGGTTCATCAAGGATTTTCACGTTTGTGATCATCGCCCACCTTGCTTTATGGCCAGTTTCCTATTCGCGGTTCTTTTTACTTCTTTCCGAATTCTATACTGTTTCCTTTTCCGTTTCAGCCAAACGTGCCTTGGATTTATCGGGTTCATCGCAGTTCTGCCGCCTACCCTTATGTGTGCTTTTCGCTCTCACAGTGACCGAGGACCTGGAGACAGTACTATAATGGACCGCTTTTCCACCACCTATTCACGCAGCTACAGGCCATTTGATGAATTTCAAAGAAACATACCTCTTCGATGCCTAAACGGTACACAGACTAGCTCCACAATTTTAAACGGCAGTCGATCACCAGGCGTTGCTCGTCTCGCGCGATGTTGGCCATCGGATTTGCCAACAAGCCAAACCACTTCGTTCGCATCAAGCATTGGCGATACTTGTAGTAGTACAAGCACATACGCGATCTACCAACCACCTTTCACTCGTAGTGCGAATGACGATGACAGCCCGGGCTTCGCCCTACCTTGGGATGTGTCTAAGCCAATCATCGATAAGCAACGTCCTACTCCTCCTGGTATGTGTGCCAGTAGCACCACAGCAAACCGTTTAGGGTTTTCATTTGACGATACAGTCACCAGTGGGTTAAGTTCAATCTCTACCTGTGCAACCAACAAAGATTGCACTAGCTCGTGTTCTACGGTCATATCAGCTGACAAATTGAATGCGTGTCATGGCCTGTCGAACGGAGTGACTGAAGATCTGACCTTTGCCACAAAAACACCCTTACTGTTTTGCGCTCCACAAGCAAGAACATTGCCAACAATCTCCAACGCAATCGGGTGTAACTCGGATATCGGATCCGATCTGACGCACGGGAATTGTCGAAAAATCCCTGTGACCACAGAACGTGCTCTCACTGTCAATCCAACTTCACCTCCACCAGGTTCCCAGCTCGATTTCTCACAAATGTATAGCCAGGTTGCACGTATTAACAACCATCTGTACTTGAGCAGTCTGAATGCACTCACCCCCGATCGGTTGCGTCAATACGGCATTACACTTCTCGTTTCTGCTATGGTCGATCCTCCACCAGCGCAACTACGTAATGCCGTTATCAGTTCAATGCACGTGCCTGTTGAAGACATGGAAGGGGCTAATCTTCGAGCCCACTTTGATCGAGTTGGAGATCGGATTGCTTCCGAGCAGCGCCGAGGTGGTCGTACTTTGGTTCACTGTATGGCTGGTGTGTCTCGATCCAGTTCCCTCGTACTCGCCTATTTAATGCGCCATATGAATATGACCTTAGCTGATGCCTATCAACATGTCCGGTCCATTCGTCCATGCATCCAGCCAAATCCAAGCTTCTGGAGGCAGCTGCTTGAGTACGAAGAACGCATTCATGGTAGACGATCTGTCCGACTCCTTCCACCAGTCGGTTACATGGGCAGTTGTGGTATCAGTCCAACAAGTAGACTGTATGCAGGAGATCGCCCATCTCCCCGAACGTCGCATTTGGATATGTATTCCCGGCCAACGTCAGATCTGCTTCCCTACCGACCTATTACTTCCGTGCATTCCTTGGATTCAGGAAAACCATACATTGGTTGTCGTCAGCCTTTGGGCTAGCCACAAAAGCATTCGTTTCCTAATTAGAGCATTTACGCACATCGCACGATGATGTAGACCGACACTGCTGTGGATAAGTTCTCATGCTCAATCTGTTTGAGTAAATGTAGCACTGCGACCTTCCGTACGCCCTTAGATGTATGAACAACATTTGTGTACTACCCCGTTGTCAGACGGTTCTCACCTCACTGGCCTGCCCTTGCATTATCCTCTATACGAAAACAGATTCGAGCTCTCATCGTTTCCCTCGTTTTCTGACACAGAGTATTTGTTTACACTCAGTCCTCGTTTGTATTCTTCTAGAACAGAGCATCGAAACCATTTTTTAAAGTTTTGACTTAATATAAGAGCAAATTCCTTTTTCGTATATTTCATTTTTTCTCACTATCTTGATTTTCTATCATTCCTTTTTGTTAGGTCCGCCTTCTCGTATCGATGAAGCGGGCCCTTATATATTACACTTCTGATTATCGGATTATTTTTCTCAACCTGTCTATTTCGAAGATCCCAATTTGTCTGCCCTTGACCAGAATCCGGAAAAGCTCGGATACGGACACCAGTCCGGTTACGCGCCACTACAAAATCTCTCACCCGGTCAGAGACACATGGAAGTCTTTCGATCGACGCCGTCTGCTGGTTTTCTGCATTCCCTGTGCAGCTGGAGATCTCTTCTAACTGCTCTTGTCTTTTTTCAGCATGCAACATTTCGCAAAGTCCTCTACGCTGTTTGCTGATTTTCATAGCTATTCGCACTATATCAATTGTACGTTCTTATTTACTTTTCATCACCCTAAACTTTGGCGTGATATTTTGTTCTTTTCGCTGTTTTCCATTTAGCCGTGCACCCATCTAGTCTGGTTTGCGCGTGTACGAATAGTATAGTTTCAAGTCCGCACCTCCACGGTCAAAACAAGCAACGCATCAGTTTCTCACGCCAGCACCAACGTGGTCTACGAACATAAGACTTGAACAGATGCGTCCCCAAATTATTTTTTGCCCACCTTACCTCGTGGCACACATATTTTGTGATACGATCCCTCACCCATCTGATCTGAACCATCAACTCCTCTCACCCTCTTTGGAGGCTTATACCTATAAATCTAATTATGCCACATAGGTACAACACCTATGCTTGGTTCACAAATCTTCACCATGTATTGACCTCCTAGAGCCTACTTTATTATCTGATACTCAGATGTATTTGCCTGCTTACACATACACACCCGGTTGCACGTGTATTTCTTTTATTTTTCTTTGTTCGGAACTCACAGTTCGCCCAAGAGGGTGCGATTTTATGGCATGCAGAATAGATTAGTTTCAGTACTATTCTTCCTCGGTCTTGGTTTACCAACATATCGTGGCATGATGTCGGTTTGCATCAGCTGGTGTCCGAAACTAGTATGTCAATTTTGCTGATCAATAACGCTGCATCAGTCGTTCGTGACGGGGAGCGTCTGGTTTATTTGTTTCCTGGGTTCCAGTTGCAACGTTCGGGTTACTCTCAGTGGTCAAGGTACGAACTTATTGGTTAGTAGGTCCGGGGTTCAAACCCAACCTCTGCATCCCAAATGTTTTTGTTTAGGCTTGAACAATCTGTCAGTATATATACTCTCGCCTGGCGTGCGCCGAAAGTGTTACAACTAAAATTTTTTTTTCATTATTTTAACACATTCGAAATCGGCAGTTTGAAAGGTTCATCATTTTACCACAGCTATAGGATATACTCACATGGCCGTTGTTCCGTGGAGCTGAATAACATGGCAGATTAAGTTCGTCGGATCTTGACTTCCGATCGGAAAGTACGGGACTTCTTCCGCTAACATTTAGCTTGGGGGGGTTTTTTCGAATAGGTAATTTGCAAGGTAATTTGCTGCTCTACAGTATGGTATATCCTCACCCGTAAAACATGAGTTTCATATTTATACTTCGGTTTCATTTGTGCAGCTTCCCAGCTTCCAAGTTTTATTTCAGGTGAATTTAGCCAATATCCCCCAATCCTGGTGTACGAATTTGACTTCCTACCTTGCTACCCATGGATGCACGTGGTTAACTTGCCGCTAGTTCACGTGACTGGATTCACGGGCAGAAAATAATCTGAAGCTGACCCTGTCTGTCCCACGATCACCGTGCGCGTTTTTCGCTGTTGTCCGTTCCCACTGTATGATCACGTGACTTTCAGCATGACGATTATTTCCATTCGTCCCTGTAAGGTGTACTTTAGGTCGTGCGCTAAGGATTTGCGCTATTGATTTGTGGCACTAGATTTCTTTTGAAGGTTTATTTCCTTGAAACAACCTCAGCATTGCCATTGGATTTTGTTGAACGCACGGAATCTTATTTCGGTCAGAAGCCAAATGCATGAAAGTCACATACCTGACTTAATAGCCTCCAATATCAGGGCGACCTGGGCAGCTGCCTAACACACTCGTAAACCACGCAAGAAGTACCTCTATTAGTGCACAGGTGGCGATAGCCATGATACAAATCAGAGGGTGAATGTGCACTAATAGAAGTTTTTAACATGGTTGCGGCACGTATAAAAATGAATACAATACGAACTGGGAGCAAGTTAAAAAGGAACTTATCGTAGCCTTGGTGAAAGTCCGGACGACGGTAACGTGTTTTCTCCGCAGTTTGGCTGCTACACGTGTTCCATGATCGTCCGTGGACTTGTGGAGAGGTTGACGTCCTGCTCCCTGCGCGCGCGCGAGACTGTCTTGACTGTTTTCGGTTTGCCTTTATGTAGGTCCCAGTGCGTGTATGTGGGCACGTCGGCACATGAGTGGTTGCTACGCTGACTAGGCGGTGCAGACAATCGATGTCCGATGAGCCAGCTTAATGCGACGTGTTTGTGCGTATGAGAAAAAAGACAAGCCTCGCGATCCAGTGAGCGACTGTGAGTTGAATGGTCAAGTGTGTAGGTGACTGGGCCGCTACACCTCCATCGAGGAGAAAGTTTCAGGGGCGCGGTATTCTTCGCCGTTGTAACGCCACCTTCGAGGGAAAAACAAGCGAATAGGCTGTAGTTTCTGGTTCTTCAACTGAAGATGCTTTATACCACTGGCCAATGCTTATGAGCTAATTAGAGGTAGTTTACGTCGTAAGCACAGCTGATACACCCGCCGTATCAATGAGCTTTCCATTGAGTTCACATGTAGCAACCCGTGATTTAAAATTGGATGTGCAACTGACTTTAAGATTGTATCACGGTGACTATATTGAATAAGAGTGATGAACCTGAAGGGTGAGATAAAACAATACACAGTGATTCGATAATTTGGGAATCCAATTTCCACTGTTGGTTAAAGATATATTTTCGTGATGTACGATCCCATTTGATGGGTAAACCTACTAATGGTCTCGATGGCGAAAGCTGACGTCCGTGGAAATGGTCCATGGAAATGCGAGGGTACTGAATATCTGGAAGCTTCACTTCAGACGAAATGGGGACTTGTGTACCACACTTGGGGAAGCTGTTCTAACATTAAAGTTCGTCATCCCGTGAAGAAAGCGCACGATCTTTCACGAACCCCCATCCCCCCACACACACAAACAGCAGCATGTCAAAAACAAAGATGATCCATCTGGCCACATATTGATCATCCAATCGATTTTACTGGCAACTTGGATTGCAATTTACTCCAAAAGACCAACAGTAATCTACTGAAACTCTCGAAGTTTATAATATCAGCAGGGAAGTCGTAAGCTGATTTAAGGGCTGCATAAGCAGGACTCTATGGTGTTTTTAAGGAATACTAACGACAACTATGCGTCCCTTCGCAATAAGACGGTTACGGGCCCTTTCACGATCTTCCTTAGAAATGATACTGCACCCAAATGCCGCACCCATTTTTGTCGAATTCGTTTGTCCGGTTGTCTGAGTTGTTTACATTATGTTTATGGCTTCAAAATGAACTCTCGCATTCTGAATTCCGACAACTGGTAGAGTTTGACCATCAGCGAGTGTGAGACGTGCCAAAAACAAAATAGAGCACACGTTCCGATCTGGACCAACATCATGACTCACTCCACTGCATCGGTGTGAAAATTTCCAGATGGCTCGCTTGTTTGGAATATAGCTGTTGCGTTCCCTTCTGTGAGTCTTTCCTCCAGCATTAGGCACTGGAGCGGGTCAGCAGCAGATACCACAGATTGACGAATCGGCAGATGTAACAGGTTGGCTCAATCGATGTCACCTTCCTCGTCTAAGGCTTAAACTAGAAAACGCCCGCTTAGTTCAGATGGTAAAATCCCGTTAACGAATGGTCGGCTGAAAACACCTTCACGCTGTTCAAGTGAGAGTGACGCCAGATAAATGTCAAAGGAAACGGTCAAGTACACCTAAATCCCAACCTGATTTTCCAATAGGAGTCCAGGCCGAAATTCAGTTCTCCGAAGACCTTTTGACTTATTAAATCACCGGATGTAACGACCATTAAGAATCACCGGCAAGCAACTCCATAGCAACTTTCAGTTATGAAATAAAATCACATTTCGAACGAGACTCCTCCCGACTCGTCAGGAGGGTTCAGCGGTCCACGACAGGTTAACATCTTACTTTTTTCTTACCTGCCGCGCACTGCTTGAAAAGAATTGAAAGGTGAACTGGAATCAGTAAATGTCCTAACTGATCCTTGACTCCAAAGACTTCAGAAGCTATCGGTCACGTCCGGTTGCTGAAAGATTTGCTTGATACCGATTATTCACCGTTTTCTCACTGCACACTGACATTCCGACTGAAATTTCGAGTTAAACTCTGAGGCATTTTCTATGGTCAGCAGGGTGGTCGTATGATCTGTGTTCGATGAAAGATAATTTCTAACTTTGATCAGTATTTTTTTCCAAGCGTTGAGCACCAGTTTCGGAGCACCCTTGCACAAGCTAACCAGTCGGACTAGAAAATGATCGCACTTCTGTCACTGAGATCGGTTGCTGCCTTATTCTGTAAGATATCCAGCAAGTTGTAATGGATCTAGTGTGAACTACAGTCAGGACTGGAC